TCTGAACACGAGGACTTCTCATGTGTGTGGATCTGAACACGGGGACTTCTCATGTGTGTGGATCTGAACACAAGGACTTCTCATGTGTTTGAACCTGAACACGGGGACTTCTCGTGTGTGTGGATCTGAACACGGGGACTTCTCGTGTGTGTGGATCTGAACACGAGGACTTCTCATGTGTTTGAACCTGAACACGGGGACTTCTCGTGTGTGTGGATCTGAACACGGGGACTTCTCATGTGTGTGGATCTGAACACGAGGACTTCTCATGTGTGTGGATCTGAACACGGGGACTTCTCGTGTGTGTGGATCTGAACACGAGGACTTCTCATGTGTGTGGATCTGAACACGAGGACTTCTCATGTGTGTGGATCTGAACACGAGGACTTCTCATGTGTGTGGATCTGAACACGAGGACTTCTCATGGCCTCCAGCTTGTTCAAAGGCAATATTTTTAGAGCCACTATGAGATAGAAGCTGCTCTTCGCTGCTCTCTGTGTTTTTGAAGTACTCTCTGCAGGCACAAAGCTTTTACTCGTACCTTTTTGGATTAAAACGATCCTCATTAAAGCACTATGAGTCTTTTCATCCTTTCAGTGGTGTGAGGGAAAGCTTATTTAACATGCTTTATTGAGTTTGGAGTTGCAGAGATGTGTCATGTTTTACTGCCCAACAGTATCTCCGAAATGTAATTTTAAGTCAATAATCAGTGAAATGCTCTGACTGTATCATGACAATTATGCAGCAGATTTTTTTATTCTTTGAATTAGTTATATACAGTACACACACACACACACACACGCACGCGCATGCACACACACACACACACACACACACACACACACACACACACACACACACACACACACACACTGTCAGTGCTCAGTACAGTAGAGCAGTAGAGTTAAGTTTATGCAGGTTATAGGGACAGTTTTCTGTCATAATTTACTCTCCCTGGTGTTGTTCCAAACCTTTTTTTCTTCTTCTTTTTTCTTGGTTGAATTTGATGCAATGGTAGTACAACGTCACTCACTTTAACATGTAATAAAAGACAGAATGATTTTTGGGTGAACAATCTCTTCAATGTTTAAATATAATCACTGTTCATTTGAGCTGTAATCTAAAACGTAACTGTGTAAAACTAAACTAGAACAAAAAAACAACAACCTTAAACCCAAAACAAAATCTTTTTATTGTTTCTGAAATTGTAGTCAATAGTTTATTGTTTCTGAAATTGTAGTCAATAGTTATATCACAGTGTTTCTGATCAGCACAGGTTAATTCTAAACGAATGAAGTTGATTGGGGCAAATATCTTTAGAGAAACAGCCCATGTGCTCTAAAGGTACCACAAATTTTCCTTGGGGTCAATAAAATACTTGGATATATTTACAATCACATCAAGCTTGGCTCTTTTGAAATGCACAGAGTCTGTTGTTAACATACAAGACCAAATACATGCGGTTCAACACCAAACTTTAATTCAATGACATTTTTACTGTTGCAGTGTAAAAACATTCTTGTATGTTGTAGATGGAGCGATTTGTGTTTGCATGTGAAGTGGAGTCACTGTTAGCAGGGAATCTGCCAGTATGAGCCGCGTCGCACTCGACTCCAGACCGCAGCCTGAGGGAGAAGATCAGCAAAACCAATTCTGTCTTTAAAAAAGCTATCTTACAAACAGCAGCGCTGCAATCCAGCCAATTTCTGCATGTTGATTTGATAAGCGTCCTCTGGGTCTCGCTGCACGACTGAGGGCTTCCCATGTGTGACTTCATAAAATTTGCCTCTTACAAATAAAGCTTTGATCTCCTGTAAGTAATACAGATTTAACTGAATATTTCAGGCTATATTAGCTACACAGTAATAGTTCCTGCCATTTTGCTTGTTGTAAATTTTTAGTTAAGGAGAGGAGATGCCCACTCAGTTCTCTGTCTCTGAGCGTTAAAGAAGCAAAAACCTGTTAAAACCTGCTCTGTAATGGATTAAACGCAGCATGTTTTTACCTGCTGTGTAATTGGTGTATTAAAATGTCAAGTGACTGCACCGAATGTAATATCAGCTCGATAGATATAAACTTCATGGACTGATTGTCATATGTTGTGATGCACGATTACCAGAAATGTGTATTTAATGAAACGTCAAGCCCATTCAGCATTCAGTGAAAAATCCTTTATGTCCTTCTAACCATGTGTACCAACAATTTTGTAGAGAACATACAATTTTCAGGTAGTTTGGAAATGAAAAGTTTGTGTTTTTTTCTGTATTTGAAGAAGACATATGACAACTGAATTGCTGCAAAGAAAAATCTGTTGAAACATACAATTCTGGCTAGCAAAAGGCATAACTTGCTGGGATTGATCAGAGGCTGTTAAAGCGCGCACACACACACACACACACACACACATCCAGTATCCAGTGCTTGAGTGTGTCTTGTGCTGGGCTGCATTGATTTAATGCATTACTCAAACTGCTGGAGAGAGAGAGAGAGCCGAGGTAGAGAGTCTCTCCTGACTGCATTAGGAGCCTCCAGCCTTTGTGATTCCTTTTGATCAAATCTCTGTGAGAGACGCGTGTCATGCCCTCTTCCAGCCAGCTGTGAGGGGACTGGCCCGCCACCCAGTGGGGGAGGTGTGTGTGTGTATGTGTGTGTGTGTGTGTGTGTGAGAGAGAGAGAGAGATCTCTTAAGGTGAGAGGCAGAGAGTACAGCGGGTAGGAGGGTCTCATTCCACTCCCTAGTTCCAGCACACACTCACACACTCACACACTCACACACTCATCCTGGACGCTTTAGAGCCGCTCACACACTCACACGGGCCTGTGGACGAGCGCCGCGTTTCTCGATTGCAGGAGAAAGTGTGTGTTGTGTGGGTGAGTGTGACTGAACTGTGAGTGATGATCTCTCGCAGGAGAACGTAGAACTTGTACAGACAGGAGCTGCTGGAATGGCAAACTGCTCAGAAACACTGGAAACTTCAGTCTGATCAAAATGTCTGAGGTAAGAAGTTTAGTTTGGGATCAAGTCTGTCTTAGAGAATTTAAATAAGAACACAAGTGGATTGTGAGTTATATGCAGATGATGTTACATTGAGGAAAAATATGCTTTTTTCCCTGTGTGGTGCTTTGACTGAATTGGCAACTTTTATCTGTGTTGATCATTTATTGGTGTACGGGACATGAATTAGCTAAACTGTGCATACAGATATGAATCCATGTTTCAAGAGTTTTTTCCCCCATTAATAGATCAATTTGCTAGCTAGATATTTCAGGAGAAACTTTAATGTGCTGTTCAGATGGGTGTGAATGTCTTCACAAGTGTGTGAGTGTTTGTTGGTCATCCACTGGAATGTAATTCAAGACAAGAGTAATTTCGCTGGCACAGCCATAATGCTGGATACTTGATTGCGTGTGGAATGCTTGTTTAATCTGAACACCAATGTAAAAGACACATTCATTATGGAGACTTACCGAAAGATTTTTGTTAATGGAACAACAGGAGTCAAATTCTTTTTTTCCTCTCTTCCACTTTCTGGCAGCTTTAAGAGATCCTCTCCCGGCTCTCTCTGTCTTTGTGCTAATGCTGACGAGTTAATGTCCCAAAGTGGGACTGAGACCCCGTTTCTGGGCGGGCAAACACAGTTAATGGCCTTGGGGCGTGAAAGCTTTGTCTCTGCGAGTGTGTGTGTTCATTAAGCTCATGTTGATCTGTCATTGTTGTTCGCTGCTACGGGCCTGTGTTGTAAGATCTGACAGGGACTCTTTCTGTTCGCGATTCCTCCACCGCTGCGCTTATGTTCACCACACGCGCCTCTCTTCATATCTGCACATCCATGTTCTACACGTTTGTGGTCCTAGGAGAACTACTAACTTGTACAGTTTGTCAAAATAATATTTGTCTAATATTACGTGATATTCTGGATTAAATCATGTCAGTCAATATTGTAATTGTGAGTTTACACATTTACATCGTAAAAAATCTATTCAAAAGCAATAAATACTGAGTATATTAATGCATTTTACAGTCGCATTATTTTTAAGAAATGTAATCATTTTTTGTTTTTAAAAATGCTAAATAATATGCTGTATCATTGCTGTAGCGTATTTTAAAATGCAGTCAAACTGTCAGCCAAAAAGCTGGATTATTGAATTGTTATGAACAGCATAAACTAGCCTAATTAACATTTAAAATTCCTTCAGAAATTAAACTCAAAATGTTTGCTTGGCTTAACATAATGCATCAAGTAATCATTTTTTTTTAAATCTATCTTGTGCTTTCCATTGACTTTTGTGATGTAAATATCTATGTGCATTTTCAAATATCGCTCTCTCTTTCTTTGTGTAAGTAAGTGCCGGTGTGTTTTATGGTTGAGGTTCGAGGATAAATAACTATGATGTGATTATCGTGGCTATTGGCCTATATTATCTCTATATTGAGCTGTGTCTATAATTAATATGAAATTGCATCGGAATGAACCTCACTCTATGTGTTTGTGCTCAGAAGAGTACTTTATATCATTTATAATTCTTTATTTAATACAATATTATCATTGAAGCATTACCAGCAAAACAGTGAAAAGTTTCATTAAAAATTGGACATGAATTTGAGAATGTCTCAATAACATGTGTCTCTCTCTTGGTTTAATGACAGCAGCATTGGAGAGACCGTAAACCGAACCTAGCGATCGTGTTCTCCAGCATGAGAATATTGCAAAGAGCTTCTTGAGCTTAATATATACAGAGATACACGCATATGTAGAAAGATACTCACACACACACATATTCAGATCTAGGTGTACATTAAAAAGTTAAAGTACGAAACTGAACATTTTGGAGTGAACATAACGGGTGTTTGTGATGAATAAATATGTCGAATATATTCATTATTATTGTGTGTGTGGACAGGCTATTTGCTGCACGCTGGTGAACTGCAACTGTGACAGTTTCAAGCCTGGGAAACTGAGGCGGCGACTCTGTGAAGACTGTAGGCACGGCTGGGTCGCCCATGGTGAGTTTCACATGCTATACAATATTACATTTCACACAGATGTTTTTCACACATCTTCAAACCAGGTTTTAACACTCTTCACTGTCAACTCTCTCTCTGTCTTTCTGCCTCTTCTACTTTTCACAGTACCTTTTAAAAGAATATTCCGTGTTTAATACAAGTTAAGCTCAATCAACTAAAAATGTTTCCTACCTTAAAAATTATTTCAACATGTCTTTCCTATTCTTAAAAAAATATATTTTCTTTTTCTGTAACAGTGAGCCACTTAAAAAAGAAATGAGTGTAAATCCTAAAATACTGTTTTAGAAGTATAGTGACAAGATGTAAACAATGTCATTATGATTTTTATTGAGGAAAAAAGTGCTTACTAACCTTTTCTTTGTAAAGTTATATCCAATTTTACAAATACATTTTTTTTTAAATGTGATACATAAAAAGACCATACAATTATTTTACAAATGAATTTAAAAACTGTCCAGCTCAAATAATACACAACTTTTAACCGAAGTGAGTTTATCAAATTATACGCTTCACATTTCTAATTTTAAATCCTCAAAGAATATATTGTGGTGGTCATCAATATTATGTTAGAAATGCTGATGTTTAAGCTTAACTTGCTGAACCTTAAATATTCCTTTAATAAACATATTTGAAAAGACAGAAATAAATAAATAAATCTGTTCATTATAAATTAATCTACACCTTAATATTGACTTTCTGACATCAAAGCTATGTGGCATAAATTGATAAATTGATGGCCAGTTTAGAATCCTTGGATATTTTTTGTTGTTGTTGTAATTGTTATTGTTTGTAGATGATAATTATTTACAATATTGTCTGTAATTTCTCAGCCATGCAAATAAGCAAATATATACAAACACACTTTTAGTACAATACATAGGCAACATGTTTATAATAGACATTCAAATTTGTACAAATGAACATTTAAAGCCTCACTCACAAAAGAAAACAGATACACAGATTCAGAAGTGATCGACAGAAATGCTGCCATGAAACACGTGGAGATGCTTTGCTGATTTCTGATGTAAACTGGTGTCTGTTTTGCTGAATTGCAGCTCTGAGTAAGCTGAAGGTTCATCACATGTACCAAGGAAGCCAGGTGGAGATTGTTCACTCCAATGTGGTGTTTGATATCTGTAGTCTGATGCTTTATGGGACGCAGGCAATTCCAGTGCGTCTCAAGATCCTGCTGGACCGACTCTTCAGCGTCCTTAAGCAGGAGGAGGTTATTCAGATCCTAAACGCCCTGGACTGGACTCTCCAGGACTACATCCGTGGTTATGTCCTGCAGGTGAGCTGTTCCAATCACTCGACTCACACTGATCCCGCTTGAAAACATACTTCAATTTGAGATGTATAATTACAGTTTTGTCACACTTTTCCAGTGGTGAGCCACTGAGATATCTTCAATCTTTTGGCTTATCAAGTATTCAGGTGCTTGAATTAAATTCATGCTAGTTCCTCTAGTGGAGAATGTAAAGTTAAAGCCTCTTCAGACCTCCAGATGAATTCTGTATGATAAAATATTTATTCTGGTTACAACATGAAGCTGCTACATGACTTTCAAAGCCTGCTGGCACTCAAGAGTAATTACAGGCGCACTGAAAGACTTGCCCGACTCGCCTCTGATCTCTCCCCTCCCCTCATACTTCGACAGGGAAACCCGCATCATCTAAATTAAGAAAAATTATGCTCCTGAATGTATCACTCTGCTGCAGTAATTAGACCTCTCAAGTCCACATGCATTAGATGTATGGATGACTTGTTATTTAGTAACTCTGTCAATCTGTCAGAAGTATTTTAGGGTCCCAGTAGTTTAGACTTCATAATGCAAATTATATTCCTTATGTGTATGTGTCTAGGATGTGGCCGGTAAGGTTTTGGACCGCTGGGCCATAATGACCTTTGAAGAGGAGATTGTAACGCTGCAGCAATTCCTGCGCTTTGGAGAGACCAAGTCCATCGTGGAGCTCATGGCTCTACAGGACAAGGAGGGACAGGCTGTTGTTGTTCCGACCACTAGGACCAATTCTGACATCCGCAGCTTCATCGAAAGCAGCACCCAGCGCTCTGTGCGGACACCCGCTAAAGCAGAAGCACCCGGTTGTAGTAACGGACACCCTTTTGAGACTCTAGTGAACAGTATGGCCCTCATGCTGCCATTGCAACTGCTGAACTCGGTTCCGGCACCGTTGCTGAGCTCCAGTACAGCCTGCAGCCACCAGGAGGCACAAACGAGACACGAGACGCCAGAACTAAGCCTTGACAGCAGTGCTGCGTTCGACACCGGCCCCGTGAGAGTAGAGCTGCTGCTGGACACACAATCTCCAAAGATGGAGACGGAAGAGTTTAACGTGAGTGGAAATTCCTCTCCCTCGACGCCTTGCACATCCTCCATCACTTCTGAAATCACACACATGTCACCAGAGAGCAAGATGCGGTGTGCAGAGAAGAGCGGATCCTTGAAGAAGGGCCGTGTGTTCTGCAGTGCCTGTGAGAAGACCTTCTATGACAAGGGCACGCTGAAGATACACTATAATGCCGTTCATCTGAAGATCAAACACAAGTGCACCATTGAGGGCTGCAACATGGTGTTCAGCTCTTTACGCAGTCGCAACAGGCACAGTGCTAATCCGAACCCGCGGCTGCACATGCCAATGAACCGCAATAATCGTGACAAGGACCTGCGGGGGGGCCTGAGCCCGAGCCAGGAGGACGAGCCCGAGGGCGAGAAGAGAGAGTTCGCCTCCATCCCAGAGAGCAGGACTGTCTCAAGTTTCATCATCCGCAACTCTGAGCCCAAACTACACGGCTCTTTATCCAGCATGAGCCAAAGCGGAATCCTCTTCCCCAATCTAAAGACTGTGCAGCCCGTGCTCCCCTTTTACCGGAGCCTGGTGACCCCAGCCGAGCTGGCCCATACGCCGGGCAACTTGCCCTCGCTCCCGCTCCTGTCCTCCTCGGTGCCCGTCAGCACCAGCCACATGCACACCGACGTGGAGCCGGTGCCCAAGAAGAAGTCTCGGAAGTCCAGCATGCCCATCAAAATCGAGAAGGATGATCTGGCAGAAGAGGGCGTGTCCGAGGAGGAGACTCCGCCCCTCAGCCCCTGCACACACACACACAAGTGTGACATCAGCAGCGAGGGGCGTGGCCCTGTGGACCGCGATGGTCTTCTCCGGTCCACCGCCAACTCACTGGACGCAGAATGGGACAAACTGACTCAGGAGGACAGTCGTATCATCTCAGCATCTTCTCCTTCTCTCTTTCACACTAAACAGAACGATGAGAAAGAAAAGGAGTCCTCAAAATGTGAAGAACCAACATGCAGTTCACGGCCAGACCAGCCTTGCAGCCACCGACCGGCCCATTTCACACACAGCAGTGAACACTGTGCAGACGGCTGTAGTGACCCGGAGAACACGTGTCCAGATGATAAAGAAGAGCAGTCGCACCCCTGTGAGATCTGCAGTAAGACATTTAAAAACCCCTACAGTGTCAAAATGCATTATCGAAACGTGCACTTAAAGGAGATGCACATGTGCACTGTGGACGGCTGCAACGCTGCTTTCCCATCCCGGCGCAGCAGAGACCGGTAAGACGGATAGGCTTGGGGGAAATTAATGTGTGTGTAATACAATACATTAAAATCACATGACAGTTTTTGTGTTGATGCCCGGCTCCAGCTTTGAGATGTAAGGTGGGCCAAGTGACATTCCTCGTGGGCTAGAGTTTATACATTATTTTATTTCTCCTTTATTTTATAACAAAAGGGGCAGGTCTTAAAAGGGACTCACACATGGCTCAACACTAAGGAGATTACTGGTTATTTGCCCTGCCAAAATTTTCACCCAAAAAAAAAAGATAATTTGAATAAATAATATTACGTATAGACAAGTAAAGAGCCAGTAATAAAATATGAATGAATGAGCAAATTACAAGCAATAGCACAAATAAATACAATAGAACAAAGATACAAATGAAATAAACAGATTTCAGCTAGGTCTAATAGTATTCAGGGACCGTATTCACAAAGAAATTTATCTTACCACTAGGAGTACTCCTAAATCGCACTAAAATATTTTAGCTAGGAGTTTTCTCTTAAAAGTTATTCACAGCACCTTTCAGACCTACTCTTAGTAAGGAAAAATGACAACTCCTAAACTAAGGGTGAGTCTTCGTTGCTATGGATGACGTCACTTCTCATGCACGAGTTTCCTCGCAGTGATCACGGTGATTGGTTGTTAGATGACAGGGCCATCATGCGGAACACAACACAGACGCAACAAATCACGGAATTACCACATCTAAATATGTCTGTGTCCTACACAAAATAATAATAGTAATGTCATCGAAATGCATATATAAGGACATGTTTGTGCAGGCCCCAGTGAAGTGTAATTCTAAAAAGGCAGAGAGAGAGAAAAGTCGTGAATTAAAATAAATGAAATCAAGGTAGCCTAATACCTCAATGAAAACCTCCACTTGCCTAATAATGAAAAACAACACTTGCATTAACACTTGCTTGGTTAATTGACATCCTATTAGCCTAAATAGACTACTTAAAAAGCAAGGAAATGTTGCTCTTATTGAAGTAATGTAATAGTTGAATGACGGTGTATTATGAAGTCGCCAAAACGTAAAAGAAAGCCCAACTGGATGCAGGATCAGTTACTGCTGCTGGCCCAGCTGGTGCTAAAAATAAAAAATAAACATAATAAAAGTGAAATTCGGCACTGGGATATCAAGCAAAACTAAGCGTGAGAATGGGAGAGGATTTGTTTGCAGATCAATGCAGCATTCCCGCTTGTGTCGCGGAGCCCGGACGACTGCGAGAGGCGGTGCGTAGCCGTTGCGTATATCTCTTGTTGTAGCAACCCTTTGTGAATAGGTCTTAGTGAGTTAGGAGTCCTCTCGACTTCTTTTAAGCTCTCCCAGACTTAGATGCTACTTTTAGGGCTAAAATGCTTCGTGAATTACTCTTAGTGAAAAAAATTAGGAGTCCCAAAGTTAGGAGTGACACTCCTATTATTTTTAGGAGTTGCTCCTAAATTCGCCAGTTAGGAGCTACTTTTAGCCTTAAAATTCTTTGTGAATACGGCCCCAGGTACAATACTTTAATGTATAAATTAAATATATATTAATCCTATAAAAGGTAAAGAAGTTATTCAGTCAAGAGCAGATTTGAGTAGAGTATTTATAATTGTCTTTTGTTCTTTAACATGAATAACACAAGACAGCAGCAGGGATATTTAGCTACTGTCACTTTAACACCAAATGAACGGATCTGGCGAACATCAGATTTTCTCATAACCGTTTACGTTCATTGAGACTTTTTATTTTTTAACGCAGTTAAACTGTGTGTATTCGTCCGTTTAAGCTTGGCAAAAGAGAACTGTGTGAGACGCATCTTTCTGTGTGTAACGCGCTTCGTGTGTAAAACAGCGTGCACATACCGAATGAGTTTCTTTCGCGTCTTCTTGCGCTTGAACAGTTTAGAATCGGTGGAATGTTTGAATGTTTATGAAGACCATGGTCAGGTTCTAATACTGCTTTCTAGTTTCTAAATAACAAGTCGATTTTTCATACCAAGCAGCCGAAAAGCTTGATCTCCCTCAAAATCTGGAGCTGATTTGAACATCGCAATCATTTAGCAATCGGCTGTTATTTACCGTGAGGCCAGGGTGGGCCTGTGGAGCCGGGCCTGCTTACAGTTGATGATTGCTTTTATACATGAAAAAAGTTAGAAACAAAAGCATGTTGGTTTTCTCTTCAAATGTTTTTGCTTTTAATTCTCTAGACACAGTGCAAACCTGAATCTGCACCACAGGCTGTTGACCAAAGATTATTCAGGAACGTCTTCTCTCCGCAGAGAGCATCCCGATCTCCCTCACAAAGAGCAGATGTCAGTCAGTCAGATGTCTGTGATCCTCAAAGCCAGTCACCGCACAGGCCTCGTCTTCCCCATGAGTAAATCCCAGGAGAGAGCGACTGAGCCAGCAGAGGGTGCTGTGGAGAACGACGCTGTGTTGGACCTGAGCACCAGAGGAAGCGCACACTCGTCCTGGGACTCAGACATGGGCAGTGAAGAAGGGCTCCCTCTAGAGGACAGTGACGAGAGCTGCGACGGGCTCCGTGTCTCGTCTCCACCGTGCCTCAGCCTGCAGTCTCACAGCTCATCTCCCATCACTTGCCATCTCTGTCAGAAGGTTTACAGCAACAAAGGCACATTCAGGGCTCATTACAAAACGGTGCACCTTCGCCTCCTTCACAAGTGCAAAGTTCCAGGGTGTGACACTACATTCTCCTCTGTTCGGAGCCGCAACCGACACAGTCAGAATCCTAATCTACACCGTAACCTTGTGATGAATACCTCCCTCAATCAGGAGTAGGACAGAGCAACACACACACACACACACACACATATTCTTCTAAATATACATACGCGTGTAAAGTCCAGGGGGCAGAAAGTAAAAGTCCTGCCATATGTTTATTCCCACCACTGATTTCACTAGTTCTCTCTCCTGGCTGAAAACTGTGGTAATTAGCAAATCCAGGCGATTGGAACAAAATACTGAGGAGGACTTTTACTTTCTGAACCTGGACTTTACACCTCTGCATACGCAATGATTCACTCTTAACAATTTGGGCTCAAAAGCACTGGTCATTGTACTGTACAATCAAGCACAACTGGAAGGACAATCATATTTATAATAAACCTTGACGTTATTTACCTTTTTAATGTTAAGATATGTTTTCATCTCTACCGTAATATCTACTTGAGAAACTTTACTTATATTTATTGATTTTTTGAAAGTAGGACAGAAAGACAGATGCCTAAAAATGACTGAAGAAATGACAAAGCTGAAGATTGAAGAGACAGAGATGCTCGCCAACACACAAGAAAGTACATACAGAATCATTTGAATCATCCTTAAAAACAATCAGTGCTGTTATACAGTAAGTTAGGTCCATCATTCTTTATCCAAAGCCACATAAAAATCATGTTGTATTTTCCTTCTCTGCACTTTTCCATGGAGGGGACACGTCTCTCCTCAGCACGAGACTGGGACCAGCATTGATCCAGCACGAGCCCACAGCAGATTAGAGACTGTCCGAGCGAGCGAGCACTACCGAGTGTTGGTGAGAGAGTGGTTAAGAGCCTGAGCTGTTTTTAAGGTGCAGGACTCACATGCGCTGCAGGTCATTTTCTGGTAGTGTATTTGTGTTTGCTTGCTGTTCAGATTTGGTTTTATTACAGAAGATTTAGTGAAGCTGATAGATTGTGTTGGCGTTTCAATCAATATGCTCTTTACAGAGGCTGTTGTGTTCTTGTTGAGTAAGTTATTATATGTATGTTTTATTTTAGGGGCCAAGCATCTGCAGTGTTTGTTCGTTTTCTTCTTCTTCTCGTGTCGTGGGAGTCTGTGAAGTCCCTAGACCACATCTGGGTTCTGTCACTTAGACTCTATAGCACAAATTCAGTTTGTGCTATTCTACAGTTCAAATTCTCACATTTCTTTTGCCTTTAACTATTCAACCATGCGGTTTAGGTAGCCTACATAATTCTTTGTGATGAAAGGCATTATTTTGCCAGCATTGGCTTTGTGTTCACACTCTCTTCTTGTGAAATCTGAAAAAATCAGTGAAATCGGTCTTATTGTTATTTCAGTCTGAATCCTTCCTGTCTCAGTCATTTCTACAGTTGTTACATTAAATAATGCTATGTCCTATTAAATTGACTTGTAACTCCCGCTGTCGTGCTTGGCCCCTTAATTGCTGCTTGCATTTATATTGCTATAGTTGTTATTCTTGTGGAGACCAAAGATTCCTAATCCAGGATGGAGTGTAAAGCGTGAGCAACAGAAGAGTAAAACGGCACGCATGGACACACCAGCTTGTAAATGCTAAAACACTCTAAAGACTCGAGATTCAGTTTTGTAAAAAAAAGTCATCAGTTTAATATGATGTTGATTTATAATGAGCATGAGGTATTAGTAAAGTCAAAGGATCGTGCCAGTGAAGGCCGAGGACAGCAAATGAAGACTTTCTGATGCTCATAAAGCTGTTTGTGAATCAGAGCTGAACAAAACGAGTGTCACACTGGTAGTGCGAGAAGACTCCCACAAACACACTCAAACCTGTGGACTTTTATTCCTTTAACTTTGAACTTTTCTTTATGTACCCCCCCCCCCCCCCCCCCCCCAGCAGGGTTATCAGGATTATTGTGACAATCTAACCCTAACCCACTATCATTTATTTGTGTTCTATCATTTTTGTATGTGTTAATAAACAATCTAAAAATATCAGTAAATGTATACTTTTATACATAAACATTAAGCAGGGGGAAACAAATAAAATAAATGCTAAATCTTTGGTTCTTTTTTGGTTTAACAATCATGAAATGACAAGCATAACATTTTGGCAAGTTATGTATTTCTTAGGAGAAAAAAACTGACATCAGAAAAGTTATGTATTATTTTGCAGAAATGTTTTGTCCAAAGCAACATACACTGTTGTGTTTATTAGTGATTTGCACAGTTTAAACCCCTAACCCTGGGTTCACTAAAATACCTGGGACTATAGGAGCAGATTACAGGACATGATCAACAGACAGTATTTAAATAAAAGTAAAAAGAAAATAAGAAGTATACATATGGCATATAATGTGGAATCTTCTCAACCTGCACTCTCAGTTTCACATGCACTTATCTGTGACGAGGAACTGGAAATGAGCTGAAGTCCATTAATGTGTATTTCGAGAGTAAGTTAAGCAGTATGACTGTAATCGTGAGTCCTGAACATGAAACACAAATGATAGGGAAAACCATGTTGAATTGTGATCGCAGCACTAATGTCACATCAGGTAAAGTCAGGCCCGGATTGGCCATCTGGCAATTCTGGCACATGCCAGAAGGGCCGGTGTGATTTTCTATTCTTTTGGGCCGAGCTGACCACGTTGCTCCACGTACCCATAGCATAGCTGTCAACATTGAACATTGAAAATAAGGGAGATTTCCCGGAATCCATCCCCAAAATAAGGGATTTTTTTTACACGATTCTTACCCCAAAACTTTTTTTTTAAAAGCACTAATCATTAACAGTCTAAAGAGTTTATTACTACACAATATATATTACAGAATTCCAGACCAATGAATATGTTTAAAGTGCTTTATGAATGAACAAAGTAAACATTACTTACACATTTACATTTGCTACAATAGCTACATCAAGCTTAATGTTGGGAGACAGAGTGAGAAAGAGCTCAAAGAATTGGTAGTTAATTCGGTGATTTTGGCTGTCGGCGTCCTCCTGATCCATCATCGCACATCACACTCATCTACTCTACTCTCCTTCATTTCAAATTCACATCCCGCTACTTTTTCCCATGCTTTTTCCCTCTTCCTCGCTATGTTCCTCGCGCTCGCGCCCGCGCCGCTGCGACTGTCTTCTTCTTCTTCCTCTTCGATAGTAGCCTAAGCTACTGTCTGCATACTGCCACCTGCTTTACTGGAGGTCTAGCAACCCAAGTGCAAGCCGCCACTTCACAGACACAGATAGTTGCGTGTTCTGAGTTAACACAATCAGAGCGTAAAAATACGGGATATTTTACGGGAAAATACTAAAACGGGAAGACAGCGGGAAAAGAGCTAAAATACGTGAGAAACCCGGAAAAAACGAGATATGGGCCGGCCCATATTTATAGGGGGGTTTCTCCCCCTAGCTACTGGCAAGTGATATGGCAGGACGTGCATGAGGACGTGAGAGGCAGAGGCCCTCCCCTCTGCCCAAAGTAATATGCTCCACGTCAAGAGTACGCAACCAAAAGCGGGGAAAGAGTAAAACAAATCTCGCTAGCATGTCAGAAGCCGATCTACAAAATGGATAAAAAGATGAACTTTGTGAAAGTAAAGGGTGGTAGTGCAGAAAAAATAAGGGACAAAAAACGCAAATGTCTTGAGGCCCATGCTGAAAAATGTCCCAAGATAAAAATGTTTTTCCCACTTTAATAAGGTAGGTCATGCTTCTTTTTATCATATATAACGTTATTCTATTGTGGTTTGGTCATGGTGCCTTTTCTTTATTAAGCAGTTGTGTTGTGTGCGTCGGGCTGCCGTGCCATGCTCGTGTGTGCTGTGCTGTGAATGTGTATGGACTAAAGTTTTTTTTTTTTTTTTTTGTGTATGGACTAAAGTCTATGCGCCTCAGTCTTATATCATGACGTGTATGCCTACAGTGTGAAAGTCATTGCTGCCTATGGTGTGTCTCAGTGGGAAAAATGTTCAGATTCTGGGGACGTTTTTTTAACGTCATCTAGTTGGGCCGGTGAAAACCACAAATGCCAGGGCCGAATTTTGGTCCCAGTCCGGCCCTGGGTAAAGTTGTTACATTTTAAATGTTATAAATAGTGCTGTCAACGTTAACACATGCGATTTATTTTTGTCCAGTTTAACGCGTTAAAATATTTAATGCAATTAATGCAGCATCCATATTTTCTGACATCCTTTGGCTAGTGTTACATTATATGATCATGCTCTTATTCAGGTAGGAAGGGCACATGTAAATATGACATTTATTATGGGTTTATGTGAGTATTGTTTTAAATTCACTTAAAGCTGCAGTCCGCAGTTTTTCCTCTTTGTCGCCATCTCTGTCTGAAATCTGCAATTGCAGTTATTCACAGAACTATAAACTTTACGTGAGTTGTGCCTCGGCATGGCACGGCGCGGATGAACACAGTGTTTGAGGAGAGTGTGTGTGTCAGTCGCCGCCGGTGTGGATACTGGCATTCACAATCACAGATTACACTTTTTGTAAGTATGACCAATATCATAATTTTTACTGGAAAATGTCTGAACAAGTAAGTGACATCCACTTCTGTTCTGACCAACCAAGGGAAAAAATCATTGCTGTAAATCGCACTGATTAAATCTAACGATCGCTTATCATATCACGTCAAACCGTGCAAATTATACTTTGTTCTCAAATTGTTAATGTTCAACGTCAGCATTGCGTGACTACATGTAATGTCCTTCCAATATTATCCTTGTTTTCGCACGGGCCGGTTGCAGTCTCTTCTTTCTGTAGCCAGTCCGAAGTCCGAACAAAGTCTTCTGCATTTTACAGCGGGTGAGTCTCTAGTTGTCACTGGTGATTGTCATTTGAACCTTTCTGGATCCGCCATCAAATTGATAAGTTTAATTATATCAAGTGCTGTGAGAAAAAGCTATAAATCTCCACCTCCAGCATCCTCACACGCAATATAGCCTACTAGCCGAGACTCTTCTTTATGTGTACAGATGTGTGTGTACAGATGTGTGTGTGCAGATGTGTGTGTGCAGATGTGTGTGTACAGATGTGACGTAATGACACAGACATGCTCGAATCTCCCGTGGAAATCCACCAGTACCACTGGAGTTACAAACATTATTACAAGCTTACCATTGTGAATCGAGCTACGGCAAGCAGAGAGTTCTGAACACTGGCTGGATATGTACTTGCTCAAAAATATATTTTTGATCATTTTTAACCCAAAAAAGTTACGGACTGGAGCTTTATATTAAATGTTGTTATATTTTTTGAAGCCTAATAAATGTATAGAGAAAATGTGATAGCTTTCAATACATTGTAATGTTGAATAACTATAATTAATGTTTAAAATTGGGGGAAAATAGTTTTCCTGACATCAGCGGCTGTATTAGCATCAGTGATACTGGCCTTCATTCATAAAAAGATGCCATTTAACAAACATTAAAAGTCTTTATGTTGTTTCTACATTAATTTGGAGATTAACTGTGAAATTATTACATTATAAAATATATTTAAAAAGTATAAAAACTTAAGTGTTTTTAATCAAGATTAATCACAGAATTTTTTTTGTCTAATCTACTTAATTTTTTTAATCGATTGACAGCACTATAAAACTTTACAATTTATTATATTGCAGTATTTTTTTGCCAAACCAATAATTACTTTTGTGCGTAACTTTTTCCATTTTTCCTAGACCACAGCATGTCATGTAAAAGGTGTCTTGCCCCAGTGGCTAAAGTAAAAATGACCCACTGCTGTGAAAACATACCAGCATTGTGACTTCTGTGAGTGTGTGAGTGTGCATGGTGAAATTTTTATATTTGATTTTCTTTATTTTCCTTTTTATGTTAAACAAATAGGCTATATACAGTCTTATTTCTGTTATGAATCATTTTTTAAACAATTTGGCTTCCATTAGCAATTGCTGCCGAGTGACACTCTTGTTCGTAGTGATTTGGCTCCACCTTGTGGCTCAAGACACACTGAACTATTTTGTTCGGTTGTTTGATCAGTGAGTTCGAATCCACACATGAGGAAACGTGAGTTTATAGAGTTTGTGGATAAAAATTGGGTTATGGCTTGGGGAAAATGTTCCCATTGATAATTTCAAGGGAAGAGTCATGTATTGGCCATCCCAGGACTGTTCTATGCACTCAAGACGTC